AAACAAATACTGACAGGACTGTAAATTCCAACCAGATAGTAGACATAAGTCACCCTAAAAATTCCACTGGGAATTTAATCCCAGCACTTGGGAGACAGAGGCAGGTAGATCTCTGTGAGTCTGAAGCTAGCCTGGTCTACAAAGTGAGTTCCAGGACAACAAGGACTGTTACACAGAGTAGTCCTGCCTCAAAATAATAATAATAATAATAATAATAATAATAATAATAAATATAATAATAATATAATAATAATGATAATAATAATAGATCCATATACACAAAACACTCATTAAAATGATTAATAAGATAATGACAGTGAAATGAATAGAGCTCATTTTTATGTTGTGCCTCCCCGGTACTGGGATAAACGCATGTATTACCACCTCCAGGCCTGGGGCACATCAAGCCCTGTCAATAGATCTCATCATTAATATCAATTCTTTTGTTACAATTCCATCCTCATAAGTAAGATTTCCTTACATCAAAGTTTCTCACAATAAGATTCGGGAAAATACCAGTAGCATAAATTAGGTAAACATAATGCACCCCCACCCCCAGCATTAGTAATTAGAACTCAGGGGCCGAGGGCATGCTATGCAAGTAATGAACCTCTCAGCTATTTCCATTGTACTGCATGGGTTAACATAATCCTTTGATTATAAATCACCCATCATGATTTTATTGCATAAAACCTACAACAAATTAATGGGACCTAAATTTTAAGAAGACAGTAAGTATCTAGAAATGGTGAAAATCAAGGAAATGGGAAACATCCTCCATAAGAAAAGGAAAACATTTCTATGTTGTGTGCTAAATTTGAGTCTCAGTTTGGCGAAATGAGGTCAAAAGGACCCTAAACCCTCTAGTACACAGAGTGGACCAAACTCGTGGCAGCCATCTTTTGTGGGGCCTTTGTTGTTGAGTGGTGGTTTTTTTTTTTTTTCAACAAGTAAGAGCTGGAGACAAGCACTCTAGATGCCTCCTGGAGCACTAATGCCATCATGAGCTTGCAGTTTCAAAACTCACAGCACCACTGAGCTTCCTTCCCATGATTCTTGGCCATCGCCATCACTGGAAGATGGCGATTACAGAAACTACAACTGTGGATGCTTGCTTGGGGTTCCTGTGTCTTCTCAGACGCAAATAGAAACATGGACTGTACAGCTTTCTCATCAGAACATGGAGAGTAAGGCGCCTTCCTGCCCTAGGACACCAGCTACTAGATTCATATTGCAAGGTGAACAGCACAAAACCCCGCCCCTCCACTTCCTCTTCCTGGACCTCAGCACAGCTGTGCACTTGTCTCTCCATCAATAGGGTGCTTTCTCATCAAAGGTGGATAATGAGGCGCCCAGAGAGGACCAACAGTTGCCTGCACATGGTGACACCATAAATCTGGACAGGCCTCCATCCTGGACAGAACCAGACGACCAGTCACTCCATAGTGCAGTCTTGGGGCGCTTGGTTCCAGCTGCTCAGCCCTGAAACAAGAGTTAGCAGGCTTTCCTCTGCTGTCACTGCACTAGGAATCTTGTGTCCTTCATGGACTCTGACCTTAGAGAAAAAATTTTCATAGACATTTTTTGAAATTTTTACTCATATTTTTGCTTCCTTTTCAATACTTTTTAAAAAATTTTTACAGTGGTTGTGATATTTTTCTTTGGACCCAATCTCTTCTGTCTCCGTCCATCTCTCTCCCTCTCTTCCCATCCTATTTCAATGGAAAGATTCTCCCAGAATTTCCACATCGACCTAAAACTGATGCACAGCCTACACCATCTGTCAGACTAGCAGCCTAATCAGTGCTCTTCCTGGCCTCTCCTAGCTGGAGGATAGAGTCCTCCTGTCCTGGTCCTTGTCTGTTTTTAAGGTCCTGTTTGTCTTCACACATCTATTTTGTGTGTGTGTGTGTGTGTGTGTTTGGTGGTGGGGCTGACACCACATCCTAAGGTGGATCAGAGGACCAGTGCAGCACTGAGGCCACTCCTTCCATTGTTTGCATCCTAGAGATCCAACTCAGGACTTCAGGCTAGCCTGCTCTAAGATCTCTAGCAGACCCACTGTCTAATACTTGGGAAGGCTTGAGACATCTTCAAAACAAACTGAAATCCTGGCATGTGCAGTGGGAGCACTTTGCCTATCAAGCAAGAGGCTCTAAGTATTTCCCCAACACAGCAACCAAAGGAAGCATCTTAACTGACACAGAGAACTCAGCTACTTGTAAATGTAAGGTCAAAGAAACTTAGAAGCCTGGGGAGGACAAGAGTCCCACTTCTCTTGAAAATCCACTGCTCTGCATGGGTCAGCATCAGGGAACTTTGTTATAACTCTGATAGCAGGTCTTTATTGTGTGCAAATTATGACAAATAAACATTGCCAGACTTTTAAGGAAACCTTAAAAATGTGGGATGCGTGGAAAATGAACAGTTAAAGAAAAGGAAATGAAAATACCCCTCAGTTATAACCATTGCCCTTCATGTGTCAATTTCATGTTATTTGCCTTCTAAATCTCACAGCACATATTTATTGTGTAAAAATTACAAGAAATAAAAATTTTCAAAATTTTAAATAACACTAGGCAGCTGGACAGAGTGAAAATAACAAAAGGGGAAATGTCCACTAAAACAGAAGGAAAAGAGTCCTATGACATTGGCTACAGTTAGGCCTCAGATTGGTATCACGTACAAAATGAGACAAAAAATAAAATACTTTCCAAAGTACTCAAAACTTGGCAAGACTCAGGGCAGCCATCTTCTCTGGTGCATTTCTCTCTAGGTGGCGTTTTTTCAGACAGGAAGGGCGGGAGACAAGCACTCACAAGATCTCTCCTGGACCTCTACTGCCATCAAGAGGATGGAGTTTCAAAAGTCACAGCGCCACTGAGCTTCCTTCCCATGATTCTTAGCCATGGCGGAAGATGGCGATTCCAGACAACCACAACTGTGGGTGCCTAGTTGGGCTTCCTTGACTTCTCCTCAGGCCCCAACATAAATGTGCACCTTAGAAATTTCTCATCAGAACCCGGAGAGTGAGGCACCTTACCGCCCTAGGACACCAGCCAGTTGATTCATACTGCAAGCTGAGCAAGGCAAAACCCCGCCCCTCCACTTCCTCTTCCTGGACCTCAGCACAGCCTTGCACTAGTAACTGGGCCCTCAGTCAACAGGGTCTACATTAAGACTCTGAAGGGTCCCATGATTCCAGTCTACTACAGAAAACACAAATAGAAAATGGAAGGAGGCCAAGTTCAGCTATTTATGAATTACGCTAACCCTCACCTTCAAAACCAGCTCAAGCAGCATTGAGGAAGAAGCAGTGTGTGCATGAGCGAGGATGTACAAAACATTTTCCGCATGATGGCAGTGTTGACCCACAG